AAAAAAAAAAAAAAAAAAAAAAAAATCGCGAATTCATCATACTCAAATAATGAAGAACCGTTAATTTAAAAAAATATCATCAATGAATACCATCTGTGGAACGTGGGTGAAGAAAGGGGGTGGGCGGTTTGGGAGGGGGGTGGGTTAATGGGAAAAGGTTTACTAATTTTTGAAAGTGAACAAAGAATAAAGTGTGTTTGATATGGGCCCTGGGGTGGCATTCAGATTGTTTGCTGTTCCATTGATTTCTTGCATCGACCAAAATGGCTCTTATTTTTGCGGCCGGTGACGACGATGTAGACAATACTTTTTTCAAACTAAGCATGAGCCATGGCTCTACAGCTCCTACTGTTATACATCATGAGCCATGGCTCTACAGCTCCGACTAAGTTGTACATCATGAGCCATGGCTCTACAGCTCCGACTAAGTTGTACATCATGAGCCATGGCTCTACAGCTCCGACTAAGTTATACATCATGAGCCATGGATCTACAGCTCCAACTAAGTTGTACATCATGAGCCATGGCTCTACAGCTCCGACTAAGTTATACATCATGAGCCATAGATCTACAGTTTCGACTAAGTTAAATGACAGCTTTCAGCTTGTCACCGATTCTTAATTTTTTTTTAAATATATATTTTTTGTTATTCATTGTTTCACCAGTATGGGATTCAGTTTCATCTGTCATGAGGCCGCCTAAAAAGATGTGTCACAACGCACTGCAAGCTGTCACCTTTATATAACCAATGGACCTACCTCTACTGAACAATCAAAATGCCATGTTGTCTTTAAGAAAGGCTTTAAACAAAATTAATGCAGTATTACTGATTCAAATTTCCACGTTTCTTTTTTAATGTAACAATGCAAAGTGTATGCAGCCTTTGAGAGCCTTGAGAAGTGAATCCTTTTTAAAAAAAAAAAAAGAAAGGAAGGGGAGCTACTCACGGGAAATTTGGACCTAATACGTAATCTGTGCCTTCAGTTGATCTCCTGTGTCTATTTTCCATTTTCCAGTGGTTCTGATAGCTTATCTAGAAGGTAGAGCATAACAAAATATGTATATGTCGAGGCTAGTGTTAGAAATGATGATATAATAAGTGGAGCAGGCTCGAGCGATGCGAAGTGGGACGGTTTGATCAAAAATATCGGTTTGAAAGTCAAGGTTTTAAAAAGGTTGTCTTGGTCTATGGAACGTACCGAAAAATGTGATTGTGACGTTATTAATAATTTGTTTTAAATGACTTACGGATCATAGAATGTTTTTTTAAAAATCTTTTTTGCAAGTCAGGTGTAGCCAGATAGTAATGTGTCTGAAATCCCCTAAGCCAAGGAGAGAATTGACGCTCTGAAGACTTAACAAAATAGACTGATGTGACGGTTGTTGGCCATTTGCCAGCTAAGTTTTTAATCAGGTTAACATCATTTTTTTTAAATCAACCGAATTGTGCAAATGACACTTATTTTCAAATCCTTTTCATTAACTTCGGTTTTGTTTGTGGGTGGCTGGATGGCAGACTGGCTAAGATCTTCGGACGGCTAAATGACCCCCTTTTCGTCGTCATTTCGAGGTGAAATTTGGCATAGAGACTCGCTGTCCTTGACAAAAAATTCAGCCAATTTTTTGGCCCCAACCCCGTACTCAACCGTCAAAAATATTTTTAAAATCCTATTTTTCAAGGGGAAAATGAAATAAAATTCCCGATAACGGAGCTAAATGATTTTTTTTTAATATTGCAAGTGCGTTTGGTGCGTAATATTTTCTTTTGTTTTTCTGATATAGTTGATGAAATAAATCTATGGCGTAGAAGCGGGTGGGTCATTAGAATCTTAATAGAGTTCAGGGGGCTGAAAAAATATGCGGTGGTGAGCCTTGATGCGGGGGGGGGGGGAGGGGGGGACACGAATGGGGATTTTTACTTGAGTGCGTTACTTGATGGGAGTTTTTGTCAAATTTTCAACAACCCCCCCCAGGGGGGGGGGGGGGTGGGGGGGGGGGGGGGGGGGGGGGGGGACACTAATTGGGATTCTTACTTGAGTGCGTTACTTGAATGGATGTTTTGTCAAATTTTCAACCACCCCCCCCCAGTCAACCTTCCAAACCACCATCCATTTCTATGTATTACATTATATAAAGGATTTTTTTATTTTTAAACATTGTTTTTAAGGGTTGTTTAGTTTTAAAATTGACCTAAAGAAAATAACCTTTTTCCAGTTGTTCAGCTGTGAATATTTGAAAAGCATACCAAAACACATGTCTCACCTTCATATCCATAGCGAGGCTGGTGATGGGTGTGAAATACAAGGTATCAACAGTCAGGTGACCTATCTCTTTGCCGTTTTTGCAGTAGATGAGCACCTGGAACACAAGGCGGCGTCTATAGAGGCAAGCCTCGTCTTGGATTGATGACGTTATGAACTGTCTTCCTGTCGAGGGCGTACCCACTGTTTTTACACACAGATTCGCAGGCCTACTGGTTATCGTATAACTCAGAGGATTCCCAAAGTGGTCTATATCGACCCCCTGGGGGGTCGGCAACAACTTGCAAGTGGTTCATTTCAGCGAAAACAAAATTGGGGGTCCATGAAATGAAAATGGCAGTCAACGATAGTAGATCTCACGTAAGCAGGTCTCGACTTCTTTTTTGGCATTCAATGAGTGGAATAATAAACATACAGAGATAGTACCTATTTTCTTACATAATATTGCCTTCTAATATAAAGTAAAGACATATCTTCCTACATAAATTGTAAAAGTATCTATGAAGTAAAATTTAAAAAAAAAACATTAATATTCATGAAACGTGATTAAGAATTATATTAAAATTTAAGTTAATTCTATTTTCTGATCTATGAAGCTGTTTAAGAATTATTATAAACTAGCAGTTTCCCGCAGCTCCTATTGGAAAGAGGTTTCAGCGTAGTTACAATCTCCTAACAAACAAAAAAAAAAGAAACCAACTAGACATCATTAACCGAGGAGATTTGGGATTAAACCCAACTAAATTGTGGCCAAATGTTGAAGATGTATCATCAAAGCAAATGAATGAAATAGCGAAACGAGGTATGTGGAAGCTTGAAATAAGATAACAGGACAAAAAACAAGTTGAGTTGTCTACTGTGCTCTTTTCTTTGTTATATTTTCATTTCCATTGTTGGCTGAGGAAGGCTTTATGCCGAAACGTCCTTGTTTTTTGTCCTTTTATCTTATTTCAAGCTTCCACATACCTCGTTTCGCTATTTCATTCATTTACTCAGCTTGAAAGCAGTCCTTTCATTTATATCATTAAAGCACCAGGTTCATCCCTCACACTGAAAGCATTTATTTTTTGCTTAGTTGTTTTATGTAACAGAAAGTAAATGTTTTATTTGGTTCGTTTTAATATGAATTTAACTAATATATGTATACAACTTAACATGTTTTGTTTTTTTAAAGTTTTTCCCACTACACTTCAGTACCGTTGTAAACGTAAATCTTTCAAAGTGAGTAGCACTGTACCGGATGTCAAAAATACATTGGAAGTTAATGAATTTGCAAAAAATCTATATCAGGTAAGCAGTGGGTCTACCCAAAACCGAAAAACACAAAGCAAGTGGTTTACAGGTCAAAAATGTTTGGGGACATCTTGTGTAACTGATAGTCACATGCGGTCAGTACGTACGTGCATAGAGTACAGTAAAGGAATTTTTGGGGGAAGAAGGACATACCCATCACATCGAGACCTCCCGGTTTCAACAAGAATTGATCAGAGCCCTGCGATAGATCCAAATAATTGACAAGAGTCCTGTGATAAGTACCAAGAATTGATAAGAGTCCTGCGATAGATACCAAGAATTGATAAGAGCCCAGCGATAGATACCAAGAATTGATAAGAGTCCTGCGATAGATACCAAGAATTGATAAGAGTCCTGCGATAGATACAAAGAATTTTTAAGAGCTGTGTGATAAATACCAAGAATGGATAGAGCCCAACGATAGATACCAAGAATGGATAGAGCCCAGCGATAGATACCAAGAATGGATAGAGCCCAGCGATAGGTACCAAGAATGGATAGAGCCCAGCGATAGATACCAAGAATGGATAGAGCCCAGCGATAGATACCAAGAATGGATAGAGCCCAGCGATAGATACCAAGAATGGATAGAGCCCAGCGATAGATACCAAGAATGGATAGAGCCCAGCGATAGATACCAAGAATGGATAGAGCCCAGCGATAGATACCAAGAATGGATAGAGCCCAGCGATAGATACCAAGAATGGATAGAGCCCAGCGATAGATACCAAGAATGGATAGAGCCCAGCGATAGATACCAAGAATGGATAGAACCCAGCGATAGATACCAAGAATGGATAGAGCCCAGCGATAGATACCAAGAATGGATAGAACCCAGTGATAGATACCAAGAATGGATAGAGCCCAGCGATAGATACCAAGAATGGATAGAGCCCAGCGATAGATACCAAGAATGGATAGAACCCAGCGATAGATACCAAGAATGGATAGAACCCAGCGATAGATACCAAGAATGGATAGAGCCCAGCGATAGATACCAAGAATAGATAGAGCCCAGCGATAGGTACCAAGAATGGATAGGCCCAGCGATAGATACCAAGAATGGATAGAGCCCAGTGATAGATACCAAGAATAGATAGAGCCCAGCGATAGATACCAAGAATGGATAGAGCCCAGTGATAGATACCAAGAATGGATAGAGCCCAGCGATAGATACCAAGAATGGATAGAGCCCAGTGATAGATACCTTACAAAGTTTCATAAAACTGCAAAGCCTCATATGAATTTTGTTTTGATCCATTGAAGGTAAAAAGTAAACTAAAAAAGGAAATGCCAAAAATTTCTGACAAACAGAAAAATGTTTCCCTTAATATCTTGACTCTTATTAAATGTATGCGTGTTTTATTTCTTTAAAATCTACTTATAATCCATCAATTAGACTTATTATCCATGACATATTGATACGTTGACCTAATTATTTTGTTTTACAACGCCAATCCTTGCATATAAAATGTTGTGAGGTTATTTTAACATCTTTTAAAATTATCCAATTATCCAGTTCTCCATTTTGTCTGACCCACCTTCTGCCTGGAGCGCCACTTGCCCACCGGAAGTATGTAGGTGTACCCGATGAGTTTAGACTTGACGTGACTGACGTCATAGATTTCAAATCTGTAAACAAATCATGGATTTATGTTAGGTAGGTCAATGGGTGTATGTGCGCTATAAGTGACAGCTGTTGTGACGTGGACTGATGTCAGCAGTTTAAGCAGGGCAGCTGATGTGACATGCACTGATGCCCGCACTTAAGACAGGGGCAGCTGATATGACATGTGCTGATGCCAACAGTCTAGACAGGGACAGCTGATGTGACATGACAAGTAGTACCTCAAAAAGTAACTCAAGAAGAAACTCAAAAAATAACTCAAAAGGTAACTCAAGAAGTAGCTCAAGAAGTAATTTAAGAAGTAACTTAAGAAGTAACTCAAGAAAATTGCTTCAAAAATATAATGACACTTTTCATATAAGCCAGACGGATCACCAATTAATTGTATGTGACTCATAATAAAAAATGTTGATTGAACAACTGATGCCGGGTCTGGTACGTGTGTGAATGTTGACTGAACAACTGATGCCGGGTCTGGTAGGTGTGTGAATGTTGATTGAACAACTGATGCCGGGTCTGGTAGGTGTGTGAATGTTGATTGAACAACTGATGCCGGGTCTGGTAGGTGTGTGAATGTTGATTGAACAACTGATGCCGGGTCTGGTAGGTGTGTCGCTCCTAGAAATAAAAGATTCCCGCCACAGGTAACTGTGTGTGGTTGTGTGTATGGCGGCTTAAAAGAGTGAAGTCAGGAGTCTGTGTCTGGTGTCCCAATCATAACAGTTTTTCCTTTTAGAATTAACACATGCCATGGGATGCTCAGCCGTCACTGCAACTCGACCAAACCCACTCACCTTAAGCCTAGAGCTTTTGACCAAACCCACTCACCTTAAGCCTAGAGCTTTTGACCAAACCCACTCACTTTAACTCTCTGCAGTCCGACTATAGAGAAATGGTACATATATGTACCATGGATTTTGTTGGTATCTACTTCATTTTTTAAAAATCAAGTTTTTATACAAAATTTGTTGTTTTTTTGTTTCATTATTACCATAATTGGTTAAATTTGTTATAAAAAAATACAAAATACAAAATTTGAATTAACTATTTAAATTTTTAAAAAAAATCGAAACTTTTTTTTTATGTAACTTTCTTGTTTTCCTGTTTTTTCTTTCGAAAACACATGTCGTGACTTCATGAGCTAAAAAATTAATTAAAAATCAAAATGTCATCCGATAAGTCCGATTCTGATATGAATGAAGAAGAAATTTCTTCTTCTGAAGAATGGGAACCTGATGATGAAGAAATGGAAGATAATAACGAAGATTTTGATGAAAATGTGTTACCTAACACTATCGGAAACAAGTAAGATTTTGAAAAAAATAAATTTCTGATTTTAAAAATTGTTGTAAAATCTACCATACGATAATTTTATATTTTTATTTTTAAAAAAATTATAATATATACGCATTCAAACATTTTAATTAGAAGTAAATAAATTTAAAATACATTTTAAATACATTTAAATAGAATGGCTACGACTAAGCGTAAACACTCTTCCGGTGAAATGGTGTTCCGATATCTTGCTATATCTTTTGCCAGTAATACTATAGATTACGCAATTATAAGTAAAAGTATTAACATTGATTTGAAAGTAATCGCAATTTTATTAATTTATAACCTCTAGGGTTCATCTTCTTTATTAACATTTTAATTTTAAAATCTATTTATTATTAATATTGTTCAGTATTTTTTATTAGTATTATTATTTGTTGTATACTATTAGTATTAGTAGTAGACTTAAGATTTAGACAACATAATTAGAATATTAGTAACAATGGTATTACAATTTTTTATTTACAGTCAACCAGTGGATATTATCTCAGCCCATGATGGGGATAAGAGTTATGGGGATGTAGATGATGGACCCACAGACCATATTCCAAAATTCCTCCCTCCAAGGAAACCTGGACTTCACCTTTTCACAGATTCTGAACCAGAGACAAGACGAGAGTTACTGAAATACAGCACAGTTGGTAAGGTTTGATCTACTTTTATTTTATTATTGGAATGTTAAAGTAGAAGTGATGAACTCGTTTTTTAATTAATATTATTTTAAACCTGTTTGATTTATTTGATAATAAGTTAAAACTTTATGTGAAGAAATATTTAAAATTATTTCCTTTTACTTAAATTATATTATAATTAATCCAGTGATATTTTACTTTACAGGTTCATTCTTTAAATTATTTTTTTGTGATGAAGTGATGAGGCAAATTTGCAACTTTACTAATGACTACGCGACAGCCCAAGCTCAGCTCAAGCCTTCTTATTCAAAATATTGGAAATGTATTACCCCTTTAGAATTATATGTTTTCTTTTCTCTTTTGATGTACATGAGTATTGTACAGGCCCCAAGTATTAACTATTATTGGTCCAAAAAAGTACTATTTCATGGTCTCTGGGCAAGGGCATTTATGACAAGGTATAGATTTAAGCAAATCCAATGTTTTTTAAAAGTATCCAATCCAGAAACTGAAAATAGACAAGATAAGCTTACTAAAGTTAGGTTTTTACATGACATTCTTAGACGTAAGTGTATGAAATATTGGCAGCCAAATAAATATGTTAGTGTAGATGAAAGAATGGTTCAAAATAAGGGTAGGTACAGTTTTAGACAATACATTAAAGATAAACCAACTAAATGGGGGATGAAAATTTGGGTTTTAGCTGATTCAATAACTGGATATACTTTTAACTATCAGGTTTACACAGGGAAGACAGTTAATGGGGTTAAATTTAAATATGGCTTAGCTTATAATGTTGTAATGGAACTGTGTAGTCAGATTTTTGGTCAAGGGTATAGGCTGTTCATGGATAATTTTTATAGTTCTCTACAATTATTTTTAAGTTTGTTGAGGGAAAAAGTAGTGGCATGTGGTACAATATTGATGAATAGAAAAGATTTACCTGTACATTTTAAGAATACAAAAGATTTTATTAAAAAGGGTGAGGGGGGAAAATGAGATGGATTAGAATGGGAAATATGGGATTAGTTCAGTGGAAAGATAATAAGTTAGTTAGTATTTTAACAACAATGCATAAAACCTTATCAGAAAGATTTGTTTGTTCTAGGTGAGTGAAGATAAATAATGAGTTTCAGCATTTTGAAGTTAATCAGCCAGGAGTAGTCAAGGATTATAATAAATACATGGGGGGAGTAGACAGATCAGATCAGATGATAGGGAAATATAAAGTATTGAGAAAAACTAATAAATTCTGGAAGACTTTGCTGTATCATTTTTTAGACATAGCTAGGGTTAACTCATTTGTTTTATTTCAAGAATATAGAAAAATTAATTCTGATTTCAAAGTACTGTTTAGACACAAAAGATACTCTCAGTTAGATTTTACAATAGAATTAATAAAAGAATTAGCAAGCATTACCAAAGCAATGAATATTCCTTTATTTAAAACCATTTTACCTATTGGGGAACATTGTGTTGTTCCATGTCCCACAAATTTGAGAAGAAATTGCTTTAGATGTTATAGACTAAAAAAACTAGTTAGAAGATCTCAATATAAGTGTAAAACTTGTGATAATCATTTTTGTTTTAATTTAAAGAGGAACTGTTTATTGCTTGATCATCCTCTTAGCTCTTCATAGCATAATATTAATATTTTTAGGACAAGAACTGTTATCTAATCCTACTATTCGATTAAAAAATTAAAAGAAATTTTGTCAAAAACATAATGATCATGTTTCAGTACAAATATATATAAAATTGTGTAATTATTGCAAGGAGTCAATTTCCTTATTCATATTTACTTTGTAACAAAATTTGTAATGAAATTTTATTTATCTATTTTTTTTTTTTAAATGGATAATTTTTTATTTTTTTTTACAAAATTATATATGTCGTAAAAAAAATTATAACTTTTTTATTTCTTTAAGAAATATAGCCATACTAGAGTATGGTTTGTGTAATTGGAAATAGTTTCATATTTAAATAAAAAACAAATGAATTTATTGCAGGCTTTTTTCTTTCCTTCTTACTGTTTGAATTTTTGGTGAAAATAATTGGTTTTACAAAAAAAAATTAGTCCAAAAAATTTGTATTATCTTTTTTTTTTAAAAGTAAAAGATAAATTTTAAAATATATTATGATAGTTCATTTAAGACTGAACACATTGTTAAAGGGGATTTAAAACATCAGAGTTAAAAATCATTTTTTAAAATAAAATGAAAATGTCACTGTGTCATTTTCCCGAAAAGTGAAAAAATGGTCAGACTGCAGAGAGTTAAGCCTATAGCTTTTGACCTAACCCACTCACCTTAAGCCTAGAGCTTTTGACAAAACCCACTCACTTTAAGCCTATAGCTTTTGACCAAACCCACTCACCTTAAGCCTAGAGCTTTTGACCAAACCCACTCACCTTAAGCCTAGAGCTTTTGACCAAACCCACTCACTTTAAGCCTATAGCTTTTGACCAAACCCACTCACTTTAAGCCTATAGCTTTTGACCAAACCCACTCACCTTAAGCCTAGAGCTTTTGACCAAACCCACTCACTTTAAGCCTAGAGCTTTTGACCAAACCCTCTCACTTTAAGCCTAGAGCTATTGACCAAACCCACTCACTTTAAGCCTATAGCTTTTGACCAAACCCACTCACTTTAAGCCTATAGCTTTTGACCAAACCCACTTACTTTAAGCCTATAGCTTTTGACCAAACCCACTCACTTTAAGCCTAGAGCTTTTGACCAAACCCACTCACTTTAAGCCTATAGCTTTTGACCAAACCCACTCACTTTAAGCCTATAGCTTTTGACGAAACCCACTCACTTTAAGCTTATGGCTTTTGACTAAACCCACTCACTTTAAGCCTAGAGCTTTTGACCAAACCCACTCACTTTAAGCCTATAGCTTTTGACCAAACCCACTCACTTTAAGCCTATAGCTTTTGACCAAACCCACTCACTTTAAGCCTAGAGCTTTTGACCAAACCCACTCACTTTAAGCCTATAGCTTTTGACCAAACCCACTCACTTTAAGCCTAGACCTTTTGACCAAACCCACTCACTTTAAGCCTATAGCTTTTGACCAAACCCACTCACTTTAAGCCTATAGCTTTTGACCAAACCCACTCACTTTAAGCCTAGAGCTATTGACCAAATCCACTCCTTTTAAGCCTATAGCTTTTGACCAAACCCACTCACTTTAAGCCTATAGCTTTTGACCAAACCCACTCACTTTAAGCCTAGAGCTTTTGACCAAGCCCACTCCTTTTAAGCCTATAGCTTTTGACCAAACCCACTCACTTTAAGCCTAGAGCTTTTGAACAAACACACTCACCTTAAGCCTAGAGCTTTTGACCAAACCCACTCACTTTAAGCCTAGAGCTTTTGACCAAACCCACTCACTTTAAGCCTATAGCTTTTGACCAAACCCACTCACTTTAAGCCTATAGCTTTTGACCAAAACCACTCACTTTAAGCCTATAGCTTTTGACCAAACCCACTCACTTTAAGCCTATAGCTTTTGACCAAACCCACTCACTTTAAGCCTATAGCTTTTGACCAAACCCACTCACTTTAAGCCTATAGCTTTTGACCAAACCCACTCACTTTAAGCCTATAGCTTTTGACCAAACCCACTCACTTTAAGCCTATAGCTTTTGACCAAACCCACTCACTTTAAGCCTATAGCTTTTGACCAAACCCACTCACTTTAAGCCTATAGCTTTTGACCAAACCCACTCACTTTAAGCCTATAGCTTTTGACCAAACCCACTCACTTTAAGCCTATAGCTTTTGACCAAACCCACTCACTTTAAGCCTATAGCTTTTGACCAAACCCACTCACTTTAAGCCTATAGCTTTTGACCAAACCCACTCACTTTAAGCCTATAGCTTTTGACCAAACCCACTCACTTTAAGCCTATAGCTTTTGACCAAACCCACTCACTTTAAGCCTATAGCTTTTGACCAAACCCACTCACTTTAAGCCTATAGCTTTTGACCAAACCCACTCACTTTAAGCCTATAGCTTTTGACCAAACCCACTCACTTTAAGCCTATAGCTTTTGACCAAACCCACTCACTTTAAGCCTATAGCTTTTGACCAAACCCACTCACTTTAAGCCTATAGCTTTTGACCAAACCCACTCACTTTAAGCCTATAGCTTTTGACCAAACCCACTCACTTTAAGCCTATAGCTTTTGACCAAACCCACTCACTTTAAGCCTATAGCTTTTGACCAAACCCACTCACTTTAAGCCTATAGCTTTTGACCAAACCCACTCACTTTAAGCCTATAGCTTTTGACCAAACCCACTCACTTTAAGCCTATAGCTTTTGACCAAACCCACTCACTTTAAGCCTATAGCTTTTGACCAAACCCACTCACTTTAAGCCTATAGCTTTTGACCAAACCCACTCACTTTAAGCCTATAGCTTTTGACCAAACCCACTCACTTTAAGCCTATAGCTTTTGACCAAACCCACTCACTTTAAGCCTATAGCTTTTGACCAAACCCACTCACTTTAAGCCTATAGCTTTTGACCAAACCCACTCACGATAAGCCTATAGCTTTTGACCAAACCCACTCACTTTAAGCCTATAGCGTTTGACCTAACCCACTCACTTTAAGCCTATAGCTTTTGACCAAACCCACTCACCTTAAGCCTAGAGCTTTTGACCAAACCCACTCACCTTAAGCCTAGAGCTTTTGACCAAACCCACTCACCTTAAGCCTATAGCTTTTGACCAATTCCACTCACCTTAATCCTAGAGCTTTTGACCAAACCCACTCACCTTAAGCCTATAGCTTTTGACCAAACCCACTCACATTAAGCCTAGAGCTTTTGACCAAACCCACTCACTTTAAGCCTATAGCTTTTGACCAAACCCACTCACCTTAAGCCTAGAGCTTTTGACCAAACCCACTCACTTTAAGCCTATAGCTTTTGACCAAACCCACTCACTTTAAGCCTATAGCTTTTGACCAAACCCACTCACTTTAAGCCTATAGCTTTTGACCAAACCCACTCACTTTAAGCCTATAGCTTTTGACCAAACCCACTCACTTTAAGCCTATAGCTTTTGACCAAACCCACTCACTTTAAGCCTATAGCTTTTGACCAAACCCACTCACTTTAAGCCTATAGCTTTTGACCAAACCCACTCACTTTAAGCCTATAGCTTTTGACCAAACCCACTCACTTTAAGCCTATAGCTTTTGACCAAACCCACTCACTTTAAGCCTATAGCTTTTGACCAAACCCACTCACTTTAAGCCTATAGCTTTTGACCAAACCCACTCACTTTAAGCCTATAGCTTTTGACCAAACCCACTCACTTTAAGCCTATAGCTTTTGACCAAACCCACTCACTTTAAGCCTATAGCTTTTGACCAAACCCACTCACTTTAAGCCTATAGCTTTTGACCAAACCCACTCACTTTAAGCCTATAGCTTTTGACCAAACCCACTCACTTTAAGCCTATAGCTTTTGACCAAACCCACTCACTTTAAGCCTATAGCTTTTGACCAAACCCACTCACCTTAAGCCTAGAGCTTTTGACCAAACCCACTCACTTTAAGCCTATAGCTTTTGACCAAACCCACTCACTTTAAGCCTATAGCTTTTGACCAAACCCACTCACCTTAAGCCTAGAGCTTTTGACCAAACCCACTCACTTCAAGCCTATAGCTTTTGACCAAACCCACTCACTTTAAGCCTATAGCTTTTGACCAAAACCACTCACTTTAAGCCTATAGCTTTTGACCAAACCCACTCCTTTTAAGCCTATAGCTTTTGACCAAACCCACTCACTTTAAGCCTAGAGCTTTTGACCAAAACAACTCACCTTAAGCCTAGAGCTTTTGACCAAACCCACTCACTTTAAGCCTATAGCTTTTGACCAAGCCCACTCACTTTAAGCCTATAGCTTTTGACCAAACCCACTCACCTTAAGCCTAGAGCTTTTGACCAAACCCACTCACTTTAAGCCTAGAGCTTTTGACCAAACCCACTCACCTTAAGCCTAGAGCTTTTGACCAAACCCACTCACTTTAAGCCTATAGCTTTTGACCAAACCCACTCACTTTAAGCCTATAGCTTTTGACCAAACCCACTCACCTTAAGCCTAGAGCTTTTGACCAAACCCACTCACTTTAAGCCTATAGCTTTTGACCAAACCCACTCACTTTAAGCCTATAGCTTTTGACCAAACCCACTCACTTTAAGCCTATAGCTTTTGACCAAACCCACTCACTTTAAGCCTATAGCTTTTGACCAAACCCACTCACTTTAAGCCTATAGCTTTTGACCAAACCCACTCACTTTAAGCCTATAGCTTTTGACCAAACCCACTCACTTTAAGCCTATAGCTTTTGACCAAACCCACTCACTTTAAGCCTATAGCTTTTGACCAAACCCACTCACTTTAAGCCTATAGCTTTTGACCAAACCCACTCACTTTAAGCCTATAGCTTTTGACCAAACCCACTCACTTTAAGCCTATAGCTTTTGACCAAACCCACTCACTTTAAGCCTATAGCTTTTGACCAAACCCACTCACTTTAAGCCTATAGCTTTTGACCAAACCCACTCACTTTAAGCCTATAGCTTTTGACCAAACCCACTCACTTTAAGCCTATAGCTTTTGACCAAACCCACTCACTTTAAGCCTATAGCTTTTGACCAAACCCACTCACTTTAAGCCTATAGCTTTTGACCAAACCCACTCACTTTAAGCCTATAGCTTTTGACCAAACCCACTCACTTTAAGCCTATAGCTTTTGACCAAACCCACTCACTTTAAGCCTATAGCTTTTGACCAAACCACTCATTTTAAGCCTATAGCTTTTGACCAAACCCACTCACTTTAAGCCTATAGCTTTTGACCAAACCCACTCACTTAAAGCCTATGGCTTTTGACCAAACCCACTCCCCTTAAGCCTAGAGCTTTTGACCAAACCCACTCACTTCAAGCCTAGACATTTTGACCAAACCCACTCACTTTAAGCCTAGACCTTTTGACCAAACCCACTCACTTTAAGCCTATAGCTTTTGACCAAACCCACTCACTTTAAGCCTAGACCTTTTGACCAAACCCACTCACTTAAAGCCTAGAGCTTTTGACCAAACCCACTCACTTAAAGCCTATGGCTTTTGACCAAACCCACTCTATTTAAGCCTATAGCTTTTCACCAAACCCACTCACTTTAAGCCTATAGCTTTTGACCAAACCCACTCACTTTAAGCCTATAGCTTTTGACCAAACCCACTCACTTTAAGCCTATAGCTTTTGACCTAACCCACTCACCTTAAGCCTAGTCGAAAACTGGTTTGGGTGAGTCTTTAAGCCTATAGCTTTTGACCAAACCACTCATTTTAAGCCTATAGCTTTTGACCAAACCCACTCACTTTAAGCCTATAGCTTTTGACCAAACCCACTCACCTTAAGCCTAGAGCTTTTGACCAAACCCACTCACTTTAAGCCTAGAGCTTTTGACCCAACCCACTCACCTTAAGCCTATAGCTTTTGACCAAACCCACTAACCTGAAGCCTAGAGCAGCTGCGTTGCACGTGTTGACATTAAAGGTGATAAACTCATTGGGACAACACAGGATGCCACCAGCTTCTTGAAGGGCTGGTATACACTTGACTCCGTCCAACTGAACACGGGGGAATACAATAGATGAAGGCGCGAGCTGGCATACTATAAAACATGATGAAGGGGTAGACGAAATTTGAAAAGCTATTTTTTTTTTTTACAAATTAATTTCAAAACTGCTGTGAGTAAAATGAATGACATGAAAATTCCCAGGAAACTAGTATTCTATGACGCCGTTCAGTAGGTTTTAACTCTTTTCAGTAATCTGCTGTAGGGGTACTCAGTAGGCTTTAAGTACATTCAGTAGGCTATAAGGACAATCCGTAGGCTTTAAGTACATTCAGTAGGAAGTAGGTACAATCAGTAGGCTTTAAGTACATTCAGTAGACATAAGTGCATGCAGTAGGCTATAAGTGCATTCAGTGGGCTATAAGTTTTTTAAGTAGGCAATAGGTACTTTCAGTAGGCAATAAGTGCATTCAGTAGGCTATAAATACTTTCAGTAGACATAAGTGCATGCAGTAGGCTATAAGTGCATTCAGTAGGATATAAGTACTTTCAGTAGACATACGTGCAGGCAGTAGGCTATAAGTGCATTCAGTAGGATATAAGTACTTTATGTAGGCTAAAAGTACATTACGTAGGCAGTAACTACATTCAGTAGGCTATAAGTACTTTCAGTAGGTTGTAAGTACTTTCAGTAGATTATATTTGCATTCAGTAGGCTATAAGTGCATTCAGTAGGCTATAAGTGCATTCAGTGGGCTATAAGTGCATTCAGTAGGCTATAAGTGCATTCAGTAGGCCATAAGTAGGCCCCTCAAATATAAGAAGCAGAAGTACACTGAGTAAGCTATAAGTACGTTCAGTAGGCCAGAAGAGCATTGAGTGGGCTGTAAGGATGCTACTGTCCCGATCCTTGCTCTGTGTCATTCCAGACAATGCGACTTTCTTACCTTCGACATAAAAATGTCGCCACAAAACGGAGATTCGTTGTCTTTACAAATGAGGTTGTTGAAATCCCCTGGGCCGCAGATACCAGTGTAGAAGGAAGAAATGGGCAGGGTTGTAGCGTTAGCAAGGCGACCGTATCTAACGCCTGATTCTCTGCTTAGAACTGGCGGCAAGGTTCTCAGCTGGCTCATGGCCTTGAAGTTCTTTGGTGTACACCTGGTGGAAGAATGGATGGTTTCAAATGGGCTTGTTGTGTTTGTATGGCTGGTTGTTGGTTGGATTTGGGATGCATGGCTTCACTGCAAGTCTTGCACATACTTTTGTATGCCTGGCATTACCTTATCCCTAAGAGGATATTTTTTCCGGCAGGCAGTGATGTAATTTCAATGGGGCTCTTCCCCGCGATTCTCAGCCTGATCTCCTCGGTGTCAAAGAGCCATCCCCTTGTCCACTCGCTGTAGTGGTGGTAGCGTACAGAAAAGTCCACAATCGGCATGTCGAATTGCTCGGGTAGTATCCTGGGAGACCAAAGTGAGAGGGGGGGGGGGTGGTTGAACTTAACATTTTAAAATCTACAGTTTAAAGAATGGACAGAGTTCAAGGAACCCTTTTTTTTTAAAATTTAAAAAAACTGTACGTTTCCCGTGGTATTTCCTTATGAGGAAAAAAATTAATTTGGGTAAAAAAAAATAACTGCAACGGCCTGACCTGACGTCGAGGTAGTAAAAAAAAACGGAAGGGGAGAGGGGAGAGGGGGGGCGAGGGTTGAACTTAACATTTTAAAATCTACAGTTTAAAGAATGGACAGAGTTCAAGGAACCCTTTTTTTTTAAAATTTAAAAAAACTGTACGTTTCTCGTGGTATTTCCTTATGAGGAAAAAAATTAATTTGAGTAAAAAAAAATAGTAGATGTGAAGACTTTTAGTATATGAACATTTAAAGGCTTCCAACATTTGCTGATTTCTTGATTTCGGATTTAAAATGTGAATCAATTTCAGGTGGGATCATTTCGGGTGGGATATGAAAATGGAAAGGGGGGGGGGGATATCTAATCTGTTAAATAGAGTAGAATATATATCTATAGGTCTAGCCAGGGTTTTATGATTTGTCACTTATGGAGGACACCCACCTGGTTTGTATCAAACGACAAACTATGTTGGACTCCCAGAATAGTACTGAAATTCCAGATGCGTCTTTCAAAACGTCAACTTTGCTGTAAATACAAGAGTTTGGTTCAAAATGTCATCTTTGCTGTAAATACAAGAGTTTGTTTCAAAATGTCATCTTTGCTGTAAATACAAGAGTTTGGTTCAAAATGTCATCTTTGCTGTACATACAAGAATTTGGTTCAAAATGTCATCTTTGCTGTAAATAAAAGAGTTTGGTTCAAAATGTCATCTTTGCTGTAAATAAAAGAATTTGGTTCAAAATGTCATCTTTGCTGTAAATACAAGAGTTTGTTTCAAAATGTCATCTTTGCTGTAAATACAAGAGTTTGGTTCAAAATGTCATCTTTGCTGTACATACAAGAATTCGGTTCAAAATTTCATCTTTGCTGTAAATAAAAGAGTTTGGTTCAAAATGTCATCTTTGCTGTAAATAAAAGATTTTGGTTCAAAATGTCATCTTTGCTGTAAATAAAAGAGTTTGGTTCAAAATCTCAAATTTGCTGTAAATAAAAGAATTTGGTTCAAAATGTCATATTTGCTGTAAATAAAAGAATTTGGTTCAAAATGTCATCTTTGCTGTAAATAAAAGAGTTTGGTTCAAAATGTCATCTTTGCTGTAAATACAAGAGTTTGACTATAGTGGATTTTAAAAAATATTTTTATTTTGTCCAGTAGTGGGGAATGTTGAATAATCGGTGGACGAAAATGTATTTGGGGCTCCGGTGTAATATAAGTATAGAGGACACTGACTTTTTACTCTATGTTAATTTATTTATAGTGTTTTTTATTCAATACAGTTACTAATTGCTGCGCTTTAACATTCTACTAGTCCAGTGGTCGGAAAATCGTGGCTCTTTGATCACCTAAGTGCGGCTCGGCCAGTCGGCCACAAATCAGCTTCGACTCGGAAAAAAAAACTGTCCGTGAAAAGAAATTGGGCCATCAAAAAAATTTATAATCGTCCTGCTGCTGATCTTTAGCTCTTTTGACAAATGAGTTTGCCTACCACTGGCCTACTGGATACATCACAAATGAGTTTGCCTACCACTGGCCTACTGGATACATCACAAATGAGTTTGCCTTCCACTGGCCTACTGGATACATCACAAATGAGTTTGCCTTCCACTGGCCTACTGGATACATCACAAATGAGTTTGCCTTCCACTGGCCTACTGGATACATCACAAATGAGTTTGCCTTCCACTGGCCTACTGGATACATCACAAATGAGTTTGCCTACCACTGGCCTACTGGATACATCACAAATGAGTTTGCCTTCCACTGGCCTACTGGATACATCACAAATGAGTTTGCCTTCCACTGGCCTACTGGATACATCACAAATGAGTTTGCCTACCACTGGCCTACTGGATACATCACAAATGAGTTTGCCTTCCACTGGCCTACTGGATACATCACAAATGAGTTTGCCTTCCACTGGCCTACTGGATACATCAATAATGAGTTTGCCTTCCACTGGCCTACTGGATACATCACTAATGAGTTTGCCTTCCACTGGCCTACTGGATACATCACAAATGAGTTTGCCTTCCACTGGCCTACTGGATACATCACAAATGAGTTTGCCTTCCACTGGCCTACTGGATACATCACTACTGAGTTTTCCGACCACTGTACTAATCAAAGAAAATCTAGGCTTTTTTTTTTAAATTTAGGCTTATAGTAATGTTACTGTCACATGTTATCTTAGTTGGGTAATAAAGTGACCTTTGACATAGTTGATTAGCATATCTAGAATGGCACTGGCAAAGTCTTTTTATCATCATTTGGTTGTCATCACTTGGCTGTCATTAGTCGGTGGTCATCAGTTAGTTGTCATCAGTTAGTTCTCATTACTTTGCTGCCTTCAGTGGGTTGTCATCAGTTGGCTTTCATCAGTTGGTTGTCATCCGTTGATTGTCATCAGGGGATTGTAATCAGTGGATTGTCATCAATGGTTTGTAATCAGTGGGTTGTCATGGGTGGGTTGCCATCGGTGGGTTGTCATCAGTGGGTTGTTATCGTTTGATTGTCATCAGTGGATTGGCATCAGTGGGTTGCAATCAGAAAGTTGTCATCATTGGATTGCCATCATGGGGTTGTCATCAGTTGGCTGTCATCAGTAGATTGTAATCAGTGGATTGTCATCAGTGGGCTTTCATCGGTGAGTTGTCATCAGTGGGTTGCCATTAGAAAGTTGTCATCAGTGGGTTGCCATTAGAAAGTTGTCATCATTGGGTTGCCATTAGAAAGTTGTCATCAGTGGGTTGCCATCATGGGGTTGTCATCAGTTGGCTGTCATCAGTAGATTGTAATCAGTGGATTGTCATCAGTGGGCTTTCATCGGTGAGTTGTCATCAGTGGGTTGCCATTAGAAAGTTGTCATCAGTGGGTTGCCATTAGAAAGTTGTCATCAGTGGGTTTTCATCAGCGTGTTGCCATCAGTGGGTTGTCATCATGGGTGTGTCATCAGTGGGATGTCATCAGTGGGCTGTCATCAGTGGGTTGTCATCATGGGTGTGTCATCAGTGGGCTGTCATCAGTGGGCTGTCATCAGTGGGTTGTCATCATGGGTGTGTCATCAGTGGGCTGTCATCAGTGGGTTGTCATCAGTGGGCTGTCATCAGTGGGTTGTCATCAGTCGGTTGTCATCAGTCGTTGTTTTCAATGTAGACGGGCTGCGTCAATTTTTCGATTATTAAGACAAAACTGTGTTTATGTTGTACTACGTCAGAGACGTGATTCTATTGGACTATGTCTGCAACAAGCACCAGCAGTAGATAAGCACCTGCAGTGGTGAAGAATCTGTAGTAATGAAGCACCTGTAGTAGTGAAGCCCCTGCAGTAGTGAAGCATCTGCAGTAGTGAAGCATCTACAGTAGTGAAGCACCTGCAGTAGTAAAGCACCTGCAGTGGTGAAGCACCTGCAGTGGTGAAGCATCTGCAGTAGTGACGCATCTGGTGTAGTGAAGCATCTGTAGTAGTGAAGCACCTGCATTAGTAAAGCACCTACAGTAGTAAAGCACCTGCAGTAGTGAAGCAGCTGCAGTGGTGAAGCATCTGCAGTAGTGAAGCACCTGCACTAATGAAGCACCTGCACTAATGAAGCATCTGCAGTAGTGAAGCACCTGGAGTAGTGAAGCACCTGCACTAATGAAGCATCTGCAGTAGTGAAGCACCTGCAGTAGTGAAGCATCTGCACTAATGAAGCACCTGCAGTGGTGAAGCACCTGCACTAATGAAGCACCTGCACTAATGAAACACCTGCTCTAATGAAGCACCTGCAGTGGTGAAGCACCTGCACTAATGAAGCACCTGCACTAATGAAACACCTGCACTAATGAAGCACCTGCAGTGGTGACGCACCTGCACTAATGAAGCACCTGCACTAATGAAACAGCTGCACTAATGAAACACCTGCACTAATGAAGCACCTGCAGTTGTGAAGCACCTGCACTAATGAAGCACCTGCACTAATGAAACACCTGCACTAATGAAACACCTGCACTAATGAAGCACCTGCAGTGGTGAAGCACCTGCACTAATGAAGAACCTGCACTAATGAAGCACCTGCACTAATGAAACACCTGCAGTATTGAAGCACTTTGAGCTGACATAAACACCTGCACTAATGAAGCACCTGCAGTGGTGAAGCACCTGCACTAATGAAGCACCTGCACTAATGAAGCACCTGCACTAATGAAACACCTGCACTAATGAAGCACCTGCAGTGGTGAAGCACCTGCACTAATGAAGCACCTGCACTAATGAAGCACCTGCACTAATGAAACACCTGCACTAATGAAGCACCTGCAGTAGTGAAGCACCTGCACTAATGAAGCACCTGCACTAATGAAACACCTGCACTAATGAAACACCTGCACTAATGAAGCACCTGCAGTGGTGAAGCACCTGCACTAATGAAGCACCTGCACTAATGAAGCACCTGCACTAATGAAACACCTGCAGTATTGAAGCACCTTGAGCTGACATAAACTTGCTTGGGGTGTTAAGTTGTTTTTTCTTCAAAAATCTAAATCCGTTAGAAATGGGTAATTAATGAATTAAGAGCAAAATTAAATTTTGAATTATCTCATTCAAAATTCTTCAATCCAGCCCTGGTCATAAAATATTTTATTAACTCTGGTCTGGTGCAGATAAATGCCATTCGTTCATCGGAGAGAATAGGTCATGATGCTGTCATTTTTTTATGAGATAATGTGTTGTGTCTTAGTAGATAAGCGCTTACCTGCATCTGTCTTTGACTTCATGCCACAGAGGACGGCACACAAAATACCTGTAACGGAACACTTCTGGACTGGGCAGCATGACGTTGCAGCACCAGATGTTGTTGTCCGCATCGCTGCCAAGAAATGGAGTGTTGGTGGGTGTGTAAGAAAAGTGGAAATAGATGGAGCGGGGAGAGTGTTGGTGTTGATGTTAGATGGACTTTTCTTGGATTCTTGCCATTCCTATCTAACCGAACTTCTTTCTGTCTATTCACCCCTTCAACGGCTTCACTCCTCTGCAGACACGCGTATTCTGTCCGTTCGCAAGACACACACTAAATCATATGGTGAACGTTCTTTCTCTTTCTGCGCCCCCAAACAATGGAATTCTTTGCCACTACAGAGGCGCCATATACCAACCACCCAGGCCTTCAAAACTGCACTCAAAATATATCTTTTTACATTATACTACCCTGACTGAGTCCCCTCCTCTGACCGATAAACGATCTTGCTGGTTGCCGTCCATGGCTTGTCTTGTAAAAGTTATGTGGTGGGGTGGGTGAATATACATTGCTGTTCTTTATTTCATAAATGTATTTTATTTTAATGTCATGAGTATGTCTCTTTTGATAAAATTTTTATGTACAGCGCGGTGAGCCCAGCCCTAGGCTGGGGTACCGCGCTATATAAGACCTCTTATTATTATTATTATGAAATGGAGGTTGTATGTGGCGAAAAGTTGTTATGCAACACTGTTTTGTTGTTGTTGTTTTTCACGTTAGGAAATAGATTGGTCCTTTTCTTTAAAAATAAAAAAACGTGTGGTTTTATCTGAAACTGATCATAGCAAAAGGAAAATATTTCTGATATGGTGTCACATATTATATAAATGGAATGGTCCTGATAGGTTTTGTGAAAATAAAATGAATTTGTATTTATTAAAATTGTGTGTTGTTATAAGTGTAAACAAGTCTAGCGACTCAGCGTTTTTTTTTTAATTAAGTTGTTATTTTTCCTCTAAATTATAATGTTTGTTAGTGTCATATTTCTTTTTTTTTTTTCTTTCATTTTGCTATTTGTATGTAAAGCGTGGTGAGCCTAGCCCTAGGATGAGGTATCGCGCTATATAAGACCTCTTTAATAATAGTAATAATAATAATTATTATAATGCAGTTTTAGATAATGACAGATTAATTGAATGTCAAGTAAAAAAAAATGCAAGCTATACGTACAGGTGCATGACTTTTGCCCCGCGAGGATCCCAGTTTCCAAGCTCATCTCCGCTGCCTACTAGACAAACCACATTCCCTTCCTGATTAGGAATTCGAACACGAAAATTGACATATTTAAATGGGGAACCGTGGTTGAAGCTTCTCCTAGACGCCGCGCCTGCCATCTTATTATTTCTTGTTCTAAAACAGCCCTTCAGATTTTCATGTTCGAATCCATGAATAAAATATTTGCGACTATTTAAAAGACCCTTGACTCGGTGAGGACGATGGAATTATTTTGCGAAGTGACGCATTTGTTAGAGCTCCCATTTTTTAAATAATAATATGGTGTGCAAATTTTGACGTTTAAAAACAGTGCTCTTTGGTTTTGACTTGAGCAAAGAGTTTAATCTACCCAGCAGCGCAATTTGATGTTGTACTCTGAATAAATTACGCAACTATTAAACTGTTTATGAAGCCTTAAAGTATATTTTATTTAAAATGTACTTTTTTTATAATCAAGACTTGACGTTTTGTTCTCAGACAAATGTAAAAATTAACTATAAAATTCTTTCAAACCAACATAAAAAGCTACACATTTTTTGCGCGTTAAAAACAAACAAATCTGAAACAGTTTTGCGCCGAGGATATTTGTGTAGATAGGGGAATGGTCGTCATGGAAATACGTCACCTTATTTATTTTTACGTCATGCCCGACAACGCCCTAGAGTCTGTGCTGTAGGCAAGAAGAGGTGCACACATAGTCTTTTGTTGTAACATCAATAGGAAAAGAGGAACGCCGTTAATTGGGGTCCTCGCAACAACCTCCGTTACCTCTCTGCTGGACTGTGAGATTTGCTTCGCGCCAAATATTGAAAATGCGTGAATGCATCTCTATCCATCTGGGCCAGGCGGGCGTGCAGATTGGAAATTCATGCTGGGAATTGTACTGCTTAGAGCATATGATACAGCCCGATGGTTTACTCATCCCAGAGGAGGCAGAAGGAGGACCCGTCGACGATTCATTCAATACATTCTTCAGTGAAATCGGCGATGGCAAGTACACACCTCGTTCAGTATTTGTTGATTTAGAACCAAATGTAATTGACCAAGTACGATCCGGAGAGTACCGTAAGTTGTTTCATCCCGAGTGTTTAATTAGTGGTAAAGAAGATGCTGCCAACAACTACGCACGTGGGCATTACACGGTGGGGAAAGAGATTCTGGACTCCGTTATCGATCAGATTCGAAAACTCACGGACAACTGTGAGGGTCTTCAAGGTTTCTTTGTATTCCATAGCTTTGGGGGCGGCACAGGGTCTGGCTTCACATCTTTGCTTATGGAGAGGCTCTCGGCAGATTACGGTAAGAAATCAAAACTCGAATTTGCAGTTTACCCAGCGCCACAAATTTCGAACGCTGTCGTAGAACCGTACAATTCTATCCTAACCACCCATACCACACTGGAGCATTCAGACTGCGCCTTCATGGTGGACAATGAAGCCATATACGATATCTGTCGCAGGAACCTTGGCATCGAACGTCCGAGTTACACCAACCTCAACCGCCTTATCAGTCAGGTGGTCTCTTCAGTGACCACTTCATTACGTTTCGAGGGTGCAATGAACGTCGACCTGAATGAGTTCCAGACCAATTTGGTGCCCTACCCCCGAATCCACTTCCCTCTAGCCACCTACGCCCCGGTGATATCTGCTGACAAGGCGTGCCACGAGAGAACAACGGTGGCGGATATGGCAAACGCATGCTTCCAGCCAGCCAATCAGATGGTCAAATGCGATCCACGCTGTGGGAGGTAAGCTTATTAGGCAGTCCTAAGACTATGGGTAGCAGCGTATTACGAACGTGATCGGGGTCGTTTCGTTTCTCAGCTGAGGAAAGTCGTAACTATTTCAATAATGCAAAACATTGCCATCTTACATTCTAAATAATACCTCAATACCCATAGTCATAATTTTATAAGATTTTTTTTTTTTAATATGATGTTAGGGTAAGAAATAAGACTGAAATTTTATCTGCGAATTGGAATGATAATTAGAATATTAGTGGTGATTTAATGTCATTTTGAGAGAACTGTAGGCGCATATGTCGTTCAATTGAGCCCAAACTCGTCAAAACGACTTTTTAAGTGACTTAAAGTCCCAAGGTGACATTTGAAAAATAGAACTCTTATTTCCATTCCCCAAAATCAACTGTATTTCTATTATGGTTGTTACTTCCTGGACAGAACTCGTTTATTCTATTGATGGTTGTTTTTTTTTTTATTCCAACATCGTGTAGAAGTGTATCTTTTGGTAATTCGCGTCAACAGATGGTACAGATTTCCGTTTTTAAGGAATTCTTTTAAGATTTTACTAGACTAAAGCAAATCTGAAGCTTATATATTTTTTTAAATTTATGTTTTACATAATTTGTTTAAGTTTTGTTAATAGGATTATTTGTTCCCCACGGCAACAAAGCAACATGAACAGCAGTAACCTCGAAAATTTCAACCAAGACTTTTTCCTATTTCGTTCCGTCCTGTTTGCATGATGACTGTTACATTTCAGATACATGGCTTGTTGCATGCTCTTCCGAGGAGACGTCGTGCCTAAAGATGTCAACTCTGCCATTGCCTCAATCAAAGCCAAGCGAAACATTCAATTCGTTGACTGGTGTCCCACCGGTTTTAAGGTACAAAAATAGACACCATTATTGGCGCCCGTGGTCTTTTTTGGCAGTTATTGATGTTAGATCAATGGATCGATAAGTTGCTGGATGAAGCAGTCCCGTTCTGCCGTACACACTTACAAACTCTACCATCACTATTACTTCTCATCACCACCTCCTCCCCACTCTCCATCAAACCTTACCCCTTCCACAAAGCCCCACCCACTTATCCCACTGACCCCCTAACAGGGTTGCCAACCGTCCGTAAATTTACGGAAAGTCCGTAAAGATTTGTCGTAAAATTGACTGTCCGTAAAATTCCGTTAAAAAATTAAGACGTCCGTAAAAAAAAAATCGACTAAACGTGGAATCTCAACGTTTAAAAAACCCAGTAAATTATGTTTGTGATCTCTATTTTCTTGATGTAAATTTTAATTTTTAAATTGTTTTAGTGGCATCCTGAGCTCTATTAATAAACTGTAAGAGCTTTCTGGACAGCTAGGCTGTTCGTTTTAAGGTCAACATTTTATGTTAAATATTTTGTTGAGAATTCTTATATTTGTCAGTAAATGTTATTTTATTGAGTTGGCAACCCTGCCCCCTAACCACTCTCCCCGTTCCTTGCTCAAGCGTCCATATTTCTCCTCCCTACCCTTCTTCCCTACAGTGTATATCATATACCCCCTTGCTCTCATCTCCCCCACTCCCTTCCCTTTTCCCGGTGAAACCCCATCTACACATTCAGACCGATCTCCCCCCCCCTCTTTAACCATACCCTCATTTACCTAGTTCTAACATCGTGCGCCTAACGTCTTACACTTTACACCTTACTTCCCTTAACTGACTATGCTTAAGAGAGGTTTACATTGTGTAGGCCCTATATTCAACTAATACGAAAACGACGAACACCCCCAAAAATTAACAATAAACGAACGAGACAATGTTTTCTTTTCATACGACTACGATTAATTAATTTAATTTAAGGCATTATATTATGTAACGGTGAATCAATTGCTCTTATATTTTGCGTACATACATTCATAAATGTGGTTTTTTTCTGTCTGTCTCAAGGTGGGTATCAACTACCAGCCCCCAACAACTGTGCCTGGTGGAGACCTGGCCAAGGTCAATCGTGCCGTGTGCATGTTGAGTAACACCACCGCCATTGGGGAGGCCTGGTCACGGCTTGACCACAAGTTTGACCTAATGTACGCTAAAAGGGCTTTCGTACACTGGTAAGCATTTTTTTTTTTTAAATCCTGTTTTATTTCCCAACCTTAGGGCACTTCAGTGGTCAGTGAGTTCGATAAAAAATTAAAAAGACATTTTTTTTTAATGTTGCGTCCTATTTATAATTTGGTTGAATTATTAATTTGAAATGCAACCGACCAACATTTTTGTTTACGTTTCCCCCAGGTATGTCGGCGAGGGCATGGAAGAAGGTGAGTTCTCCGAGGCACGTGAAGATCTTGCAGCCTTGGAGAAAGACTACGAGGAAGTCGGTTTGAACTCCACAGAAAGTGGGGACGAAGAAGACTTGGAGGAATATTGATAGACGCGGCCATCTCTCAAGAGTTACCAGAATATATCAAGAACAGAAGAAGAAAAAAACATCAGACAGGTCTAAATACCAAAAAAGACAATGGCCGAAAAACTTTCCAGAGTTTCCAAACTTCGAGCCCCCGTTTCTATACTAATAAACGCTTAACGGTCTGCGTATCTGCTTCACCAGTTTTCAGTACAAATCAACTAGTTCAACCAACTGAATTCCTTTTAAGTGCATAACCATCTAATGAAGTACGGGCCTAATTTTAGACTTTTCCATTTATGATATCAAACGGTAATGTATTATTTGGACAGTGATTTCGGGAATACTAAGTCTACATACCATGACACCTCCATCAGAAAATGGCTTAACCAGTATAATTTTTTTCAAAGTTGTGTTCAAAATCGATGGAATGAGCTCTATAAAATCAACTCTTTGCCATTGTATCAATTTTGCCGCCCCGGATATAACTCATGTCACAAATTAGAATATTTCATCTAACCAACACATCTACAGAAGACTACTTCAAACTATATATTGTCCATAAAAAAAAAATAATCTTACCATCGATCAAGCAAAAATAAACATCATATTTGCTGCAGAAAACAATTTGACATTTTAAGCTTTCTTTGATCGTATCTTGACAAGCTAATTTTTTTTCCTAAGAATAAAAAAAATTGCAATGTCTTTTTTTTTCTGTAATGTTGAGAATGCTAAACCAATTTTTATAGTGCTTATAGGGCGTGGGTTACAAGAATGACCCTATCAATTAAATATTTCACTATGGATTCTAACGTCTGCCCGTTGTTTTGATTCATTTTGTCTTTAATTTTTTACTCAAATCCCAGAAACCGGATATGACTTAAGTCAAAAACTTTTAGCACAGATTAAAAAAAAAAATGTACATGATGCAGGATTTTGTACTTTCTTTTATTCAATATATAGCGAATATTTTACTCCTATGTTTAAAATTCTGACCTTGAAAGAATTATTATTATTATTATTATTGTAATGATAATAATAGCAAAATAAGTTTTGCATAATTAAAATAAAATGGGCACTTGATGAACAAACAAAAAAGATAGTTTTAAAAATGAGTTTTGTCCCTTCTTAACTTATTTTTATTGTCTTTTTAATTTTAAGTAGTTTATCCCATTGCTTAGTAAAATTCGTGTTATTTCTAACCTAAGGATAATATGTTGTTACTAAGAGATAAAAAAGCATAGAGCCACATACTGGGAATGGGAATCACCAATTAAATCCCCAAAGGCTAACACTAAGCCTCTAATCTTGAACACCAGGTGACTGGCTTGTAAATATGATTCTCTTGAAGTAATTAGTCACTGAGTACATTGCTGTATCAGTACTACATTCACTTTATCAATTATTCCCTACTGAAGACACTTAAATAACTTGATTGAATAAAATGAAGAGACAAATCAAGTACACTCCATTTAATGTTGTTAAATTAATAGAACAAATGAAATAATGTTAAGCAAATGTGGAAATTAGGAAAACTGGATTTCATTAAGATTTTGGATATCATTTCTACCCAAGGGCATTGCATTTCACATATAGGTGACCAAAGATAATTCTTTCAACATTTTAATGTATAGGTAAAAGTTTACTAAAATAATCAGACTCAAGTAGCTTTGATTTTTATCTCATACTTTGGCAGATTTTTTTTCACATGCCTGATGCAATTACAAGTAAAAAAAATATATTTTTTTTAAATTAATGGATCAAAATCATCCCCACCTAGGAGGCATGGGGATTCAATGAAAAAACAGACTTCAAAAATTTCAAATCTTAATTTTTTGTCTCCATTTAAATAACTGTAATAAATGAATATATATCTCACTCATGGATTCAAGGGAATATCATAAGCTCTCTAAACAAAATCAGAGAGAATAAAATAAATAATAACAGTGTGTAAGATAAACAATTTTCTGACATAATATATGAGCAAAACTATACAATTTTTTAAAATAAAAGAGCTGACTTGGTAGTGTGCTGAAGATAAAATAACTCAAATTCTCTAAATCATAACAGAGATATTGTGTTAAATTTTCATTTAAATTTTATTTTATAAATTATACTCTTTAAAACAAAATCATTACTTTCTAAGAGGGATGCACCTTTTTATAGTATGTTGTAGTAGTGAACTGGAATGTCCTGACAAAAATTATATCATTTTGTCTTTACATCATAAATTCTATTGATAATTAGGAAAGGTCTACAGCTACTAGTGAAATATCCTAGCATCAGAATAATCCTGGTACCATTAAACTGTACCATACTGGTAACTAAAATAGAATCAGCAGCAACCCTTTAACACATACCGCAACTAATATAGAATTAGTACAATGCCCTTTAACATATATTGCAACTAATATAGAATCAGCAAAATACTCTTTAACATATACCGCAACTAATATAGAATCAGCAAAATGCCCTTTAACTGTACCATAACTGAAATAAATTCTACCTAGTCCCTCTATCACTATCATAAATAAAAAAGACATGTATGGGTTGGGATCATTACTTAATGACAGCCAATAGGAGATGTCATCAGTAGTAAAACTAAATACAAATTATTTTACATCAAAATTAAATTTTAAAATATGCAACATTGTTCCTAAAGTTTGATCTGATGTGGAGAGCAAATATCCTGGGTGATTGACAACAAAATCAATGATACATATTTTGCCAAACTAAGTCTGTGTGAACATTTTCAAAACAGTTGGACGTTAAGTGTGTTAAATAAAATTTGGATTTGCGCATCAAGTATTTTAAAACATTAAAAATTCCAAGGAGATACAATTGTTCTTTACTTTATTGTTAATTGTCTATGCATGTCTATATCACAGGAAAGGATGGGGATGAAATCTGGCAGTTTTCAAGGATCAAAACTTGTTGCCAAATAGTTTCCAAACCCCATAAAATTTGGCATTATATAATTGAGTATCCTGAAGGATGAAAGCATTGAAAATAAAATGAGAACACAATGATGCAACAACAAAAAAATGCCAATGCCAATAATCATGAAAACACTTAATGTAAGGTACGCTGTCACCATCATACTAATTTACTGACAATATCTATAGCCCATACAATATTGTACAATATGGCTATTACCATTTATACATAATCTAATACATAGAACTTGGTCTTTTAATCTCAGGCTCATCTCAAGTGGACCTCAACAGTGTTATTTTTCTATTTGGAAATTAAAGGTGGGGAGACAGATTTATGTACAAAATAAATTTCAAATTCATCAATTATGAACAATTATGCTTGCTATAAATTTAATATAAACTGTTGAGAGAAAGAAATTATACAAGTTCGACTTTAGGGGTGTGATCTTGATAAAGGTAAGAAAAACAATTCCCAAAGTGATAACCTTTTGTTTTATAACAAAATGAATCAACTAAACTTTAATAAAAAAATTCTATGTTTTTTTTGTTTTTTTTAAATGTTTACAATTGAATGAGTTGGAGCCACTTTCAACATTTTAGAAAACTTTAACTTTAATTTCAGAGACAAAAAATAAAAGATAATTCTTTATTCAAATTCTGATTCTGATAGAAAACGTTGCAGCAACCGAGTACTGGCATATGTGCAACGGTTTGGGACATAATGCGGCTATCTTAAGGGCTCCTATTATCAACTTTTGAAACTGTACAGTATGTTTTTTAAATATTATTTTTCCATTGACATCAAGATCTAGGTAATTTGGATTTAGTTTTGAAGTCCCCATTGTTTTCTTTCAATTCTTTCAATTTTTTAGCTGCTTTGGATTTTAAGTCATTCAAACACAAATAAAAACTCAGTAGGCAACAATTTAAATATATAGACAGGCACTTATAAATAATATAGACTTTTTTAAAAATTAATAAAAACAAAAACTAATTTATATACATTTTTTTCGCAAAGAAAATAATATTTTTGTGACCAGATTAAAAGTAAAAAGGTATCCAAAAATAAATTGTCTGAGAAGTCATCTTCAATTTGTACTGTATTACAGTGCAACCAGAGACCCTCACTGATGTATAATAGTAATGTCTGAGAAGTCATCTTCAATTTGTACTGTATTACAGTGCAACCAGAGACCCTCACTGATGTATAATAGTAATGTTGAGAAGTCATCTTCAATTTGTACTGTATTACAGTGCAACCAGAGACCCTCACTGATGTATAATAGTAATGTCTGAGAAGTCATCTTCAATTTGTACTGTATTACAGTGCAACCAGAGACCCTCACTGATGTATAATAGTAATGTGATCATAAATATGGAACACAGATTATATCTGTCTGATATAATCATAAATATGGGCCATAAATATGTCACGTACATTACTCATATTTCAAAGTATACCCAGTATAATCATTATTATGGTTAATTCAGTGTTAATATACAGTACATTACAAAAATAAAATTAATTTGTTCAGCAAGATGATTACCAAGCCAAAATATCAACACAGACCCCATAATTATTATTAATTAATACTTAATCTGGATCATAATTAGGATCCAGTATATGATTATAAAAATCATAATCATAATCATGAATCCTGCCTAAGATCAAAACTAAAACAAAAAAAAATTGGCCAACTTTATAAATATTAAATAATTAAAATTATAAATATGAACCAGTATATTATTAGAAAGGAAGAATAATAAATTTGAAAACATTATTTGATGTATAAAAATAATAAAAAGTGACGATATGAAATTTTGAACCTTTTCTTACAGTCATAATATTATATTATGAAATCTGGCCACTTTATTGTTATATAATGATAATATAATCATAACTAGGAGCCACTGATGCCATGTAATATACACATCAATGGTTATTTAGAGCATATTTTGTGGCATTTGGATCAGATTTTTGTTTAGTTTACAAAAAATTTACATATATATGAAAATTGACAAAGGCAATAAATAATTCAATCAAAACATCCATAGTCTGTTCAAATTATACAATGATTTTTAAATGATTGTAGGAAATAAATTTATCTCTTTTAATTAATTTAAAACCCAAAGCTATAGAATTTCACTAGTGACTTTATTGACAGGTTTGCCAGTTTTTTTTTTATTTTTGGTGATACATATACACAATACATATGTATGAAAATAAATAAATAACTGACAATGAAGTTATTAAAAACATGAAAAAAAGCTGTCTTGAAAAAAAATCCTACTATATGGAGCAGAAACTTGGAAAACAACAGCGAGCAATACACAGAAAGAACAGACCTTCATAAACACATGCCTTAGAAAGATCCTGAACATCAAATGGCCAAATACCATCACCAACAAAGATCTACTAGAAAGGACATACCAGGTGCACATTGATGAAGATATCATAAAGAAAAGATGGAGGTGGATAGGGCATACTCTCCAAAAACCCCCAGATAGCTTCACCAGACAATGCCTAACATGGAATCCACAGGGGAAAAGAAAGATCACTATAATAATTAAATGGAATATTGTAACATAGCAGAAATTGATGGGTAAATGTTTGTCATCTTACACAATTTATAATAAATATCACTTTTGTCAAGAAATTATAAAAAATATTTCAATTAAAATAACTATTGAAAACAACAAATAGCATCAGTTCTTTAAAGAAATTAATTTGAAAGTAGCTATCATTGTAAGTCAAAAATAAAATTAATTTTTAAACATCTGCTCTCACAGCAAGCCTCCTTCAGTCCTACCAATGCGTGTGTACAAAATTCCTACATATTATTATGCATCACAGTTGCTTAACAGATACAGTTAAAACTTTTGAGAAATTCATGTTCTCACATATGACTTTTCAATAGTTTCAGAGAGACAGAGCAGCAGGAATTAATCCGTACTGCTGCAGAGACACATGCCCAGTTTATGAATTTAATGTTCTATTTTACTACATCTTAAATTGCTCATCACTTCCTGCCACTGCCCAATGGCTTGTTGATAATGGAGATGCATACTGCTCTGACCTTTAAAATATTTTTATTAGCTTATATAGATAATCCGTAACATTTTCTTTATATTTCAACGAGATGTTCATGAACCTACTGAGCTGCTGGGAAATTTACTAGTCATATTCAAAATACTTGTGATAATAAGTGAAAAAAGTCCAAAATCTGTTATTATATGAAACTGATTCAAAGATGATATGTATATATATTTAATTGAAAATTACACCCATGTCTCATTTAGGAGTGGGGGTAGGGGACTGTTGTTGAATGATGTTAGCAAACAATGCATACATGTGTTTTTTTTTTAAAGTGCATTTATACAAAATGTTGATAATTTTTTTTTTTTTTGCATGCTATCTTTTTTAACTTTAGTCAGTTACCTGCCATAAAAATCAAACCAAAGAACAACAAAATAATAAAGAGAAATGTGAAACTAATAACTTGAGGGAAGCACTTGTTTGTAAACAATGATTACTGTTGGGCATAAGCAGGTG